ATGAATGTGATCTCAGTCATGTTCAGGATTTGACTGCGGTTTGCGGTTATCGGATTTCAAGCCGATGCGTGGTTTGGTTAGTTACTTCTCATTTTAGGAGTAGCTGTTGTGATTCGAGGCTTGTCTTGCACTCTATTGAAATTAGAAGTTTGTGTCCAATTAATTTTGAGGGATTTTGGGGTAAATTGTCTGGTCTCTAATTAATTTCGCCTATATAAGATTCCATGAACTGAGTTCTTCGAAACTAGCTATAGATTTTATTATATTAAAAATAGTAAATTTAAATATTTTATAAGCCTAATTAGAAGCCTGCATTAAAAACTCAATAGCCGAATTGAGACTCAAATTCTTTGACCATACTTAATGAAAACTTTTCAAAAACGAACATAACATCACGCCTTTTATCCCCGAATGGGTAGGCAGAGGTACATACGGCACTTAATGCCACTGCACAACGTAACACTCACTTTTCACTATTTATATTATGAGTCCCTTGTAATAGGGGATGAGCCTATCGCCACATATCCGACACATTTCCAGACTCCGTGCTACTACTGAGAATTTCTTAAAAAAAACTCAGTAACACTTTGCCCGACCCGCAAACCGAACCCAAACCCCTCGCACTCGCGACCACTCGGCCAACGAGGCAAAAACTACTGTGATATTATATAACTTCTGTGTTATCCTCGTGACTGCCGTAATATTCTCTAGTGTCGACAAACATACGAAAGCAGTTTACGTTACTGTATTTGTTCCATGTAGAGAGATCAAAGGAATCAAACTAAATCCTCGTAGCCTTTCAATTGGAAATCAATGTTCGTGGCCAAAGGCTATTTGACACTCGATTAATCACAGGACACGTCGAATATATCTGTAAAGTAAAAACATCCCTTCAATTTCATCATGTTAAAGGTTTTTTTGGTCACACGATTTATGTAAACATGTTTGACCACGCGAACTACTAGTGCGTGTAGTAAAACCATGTTTTTGCGCCTTGCTTCTATCATATCTTACAATCTCTTTTCAGAATGGTTACACGAAGGAAATATTATCAATTACACATGCTGAACGACTTTATTTTTTCAGCTTTAGTAACCTATGGAGTAACCTACGGAGTTTAGAGTTTCTTCTCCATAGGAAATTACACTTTGGAACGAGCAAATAGCGTCATTTTTTTGAGGGCGGAAAATCATCGAATGACTGCACCCGCCTGGAGTAAGGCGGGAGTGAGTGTCAGACTCTTAGTGACTACAAACCACCCCGTTCCTTCTCCTGCCCGTCGAGCCGGAGCCCCGGTTACCCGTTAGGTTCTCCGCGAGAAATAGCGTCACTAGGACTGACCGACAGACCGATATATTTGTTTGACGTTTAATAGAGCCTTTCGGGTCTTATTAAACTAATGTTTGACTTTTTTTTACTTTTATTACAAAACAATAAAGTTCAAAATACATTAAATATCTAGTCATAATAAGGAAGAATTTTTCTACCGTAACGAAAACGCTCGTGTACTGATAATATCGGGGTGGCAGCCTGTTTATTCTGCTTTGATTGTTTGTCTACCCGGTGTACTTAACGAAGTTTGGACTACATTACTTAATGGATGGATACAGACACGATTACCGATCTTGGGAGTGGCGAGGCAAAATATTAAATATCTTTGGAAAAGATTTAGTAGGTAATTTCTTCAGGTCGAACAATAATTTTGATTGCGATATTATGCTTTACGTAAATAAAATTTTAGATCTAGAAAAGAACGACTGTACCACTAATGTTTACTAGTATTTTTAGGAAAACGCTATGGGATTTGGGGCCACCATTCCGCTGAGGGTCAAAGCAATACAAAGCCATTTCCGCAAACAATTCACGGCACTGTGACAAGTGAAGCGCGTTTTTCATTTCCGAATTAGTTTCCCCCAAATAATGGTCTTGGTCAGTGTAATTTTCGGTTGTCATATCTTCTGTTCCACAAGAAGAATTCTAAATAGAGAGAATTCATTTTAAGAATCTCGTTGGTGAAGTGATTGCAAGATATGGATACAAGTACAATTGCCGCGGGAATCTTTAAGTTAATCGAATAAAAAAGTTACGATGTTTTCTTATTAATTTAATTTTAGACTCAGTAGGTACTAAGGTAATAAGGTGCAGTTTACAACAATACCATAAAATATAAAACATGATAATCGAGGGAAAATAGTTATTACTTTTAAAACAAACGTAACCCTTAATCAACCAAAGAAAAAAAAGGCGAGATTTGAAAAAAGAATTCTAAACAAGTTTGTTCAAGATTCCAACCGCCACACCCACTACACGTCCACATGTGTCCAACAACATACAAGGACTAAATTTTGGATCAACTTAGGCACGTGCCGGCTGCAGAGATGCACTTCCTTTGATCCATGTTTACTTTTTTTAAAACGAAGAATTCGTTCCAGTGTTTTCCACGCTACTAATAGGAAAAGTTTGGTAGCAAAGTCTGTTTATTAAACGAAACATTATCTAGTATTTGTGATGATGCCTAACTGATGATGTTAATATGTTGATACAGATATAGCTAATTTGTTGATTATATTGGTTTAACTCCTTGAGTACCGTCATTATAGACACAATTAAAGAACAATAGCTTGCGGTCACTGGTGTCCTCGCGGTGTTTGTCAGTTTAAGGATCAGGTGATATACATACTAAATTTTTGACCATTGCACTAAATTTTTTGACAATATAAATTTCTACATTGAACAAGTAAACAAGTTCTGTCTTCACGCTGATGTTATTTTTCATTTTTAAGAAATTGGTTAAACTTTACTTAATAGAAACCAAGTCCTATCAATATCCTATCGACTGCACGGTTGGCGTAGTGGCTGGGCAACGGGGTTGATTCCCGCACGGAACAACTCTTTGTGTGATCCACAAAGTATCGGTCTGGGTGTCATGTGTATGTGAACTTGTATGCTTGTAAACGCACCCACGACACAGGAGAAAATCCTAGTGCGGGGCAAAGTATAATCAATAATCAATAACTAACGCAATTTGGTGCAGTCATTCCGAAGCTTTGCGCTTACAAACACATCAACGTATAATTTTTCTGTACACAAATATAAATTCAAGTAGTCAACCAACCACATTACACCCGCATACTGGATTAAGCTCATAATCTCAGAGAGAAAATGTTTAAAACCCGTACCTAATGTAAAGTAAATAAATACGATAATTCATTGTTCGTTTCCAAAACAATAAATGCTAAACAGGGAGAAGGCGGGTCTGGGATGAAATCTCAAGGCTTATTTTACCCAACGTGGTAGAATCTGTATGAAACGGCCATCGACCCGCCTATGACAATGAGACTTATTGTTTCAATAATATGTAAGCTGCTACAATCCCCGTCTTCGAAGGGATCCGCTTTAGAACGAACAGGTTTGTGGAGGAAAAACCTAAATTCTATTTTAGCAGAGTCGATTCGTCATTATGTTTAATATGTTGTAGGTACCTATATTCTATACATAACATCATAACTTTTAGTCAAAAACACAGACTACTGATAACATAAAAAACTGAATATACTTACCCAATCCCCAACGATTCTCAAACTCCTAATGCCCAAAAGGCCGGTAACGGACTTGTAACGCCTCTGGTGTTCCGGGTGTTCATGGGCGACGCCGATTGCTTACCATCAGGTGATCCGTCTGCTCGTTTACCGACTTATGCCATAAAAAAAATCAAATTATAAACTGAAGCAATCCAAAATCACATTTGAAACTTCATTCATTTTATTATCCTAATTTAATTTCTCATATTTTCTCATATTCAATAATTTCTCATATCTGGTGTATAGAATCTCTCGCAACAATAATAATACAAACTTCATTATAAGTATACGAAATAACGATCTAAACTAATTATATAATAATAATAATCAAATAGCTACTGTATGTAGTTAGAAAATACGACTTATTAAAAAACTCATCTAAGAAAACTGAGTCATAACTTTACAAGCAAACTCAAAGTTATTAAAGGAAAATGACAAAAATAACATGAAAGATGTATTACTTAAGTAAATTGAAATATAATTTGACCTTTGCAGAGGGAAATTTGACATCAAGTAATAATATATTAATGAGAATACGAATTAATGTCCCTTTGATAGTAGGTACGACGTGGCCGATACTGTTACCCATAAGTTAATATTATAAGTACGTACGATAACAAGCTTTATTTTTGTATTATTTCTGATTATTTATGGGATAAGCCGCTAAAGGAGCAGAGGGTTCACCTGATGATAAACAATCGGCGTCGCCCATGGACATCCGGAACACCAGAGGCGTTACAAATGCGTTACCGGCCTTTTGGGGTAAGGAATTTGAGGATTGTTGGAATTGGGAAAATTGGGGAGGGGGCAATTGGGCCTCCGGTTACGTCACTGATACGACGAAACACAATGCAATCGTTGTTTCACGTCGGTTTTCGTAAGGCCGTGGTATCACTCCGGCCGAGCCGGTCCATTCGTGCCGAAGCATGGTTCTCCCACACTTGTAATGGGGATGATGACAGGGTATGAAAATTAAAAATATAATTAGTCCGTAACTTAGGTAATAAAAAAATATTAGACACGTATTTTTTTATTTTGTTGTATAATAAAACAATACTTAGATAAAACGAATCAAAGTTTAGGAGTGGGGGCTAAAACGTCATTTCTTAGTATAAAATGTACTGAGAAGTGACGTCACGCGACATTTCAAATCAATATATCTTCGAAACTATTCGTTTCCGTAAGAAAATAAAAAATACGTGTCTAATGTTTTTAAATAATCTACCAGACGGACATTAAAATACTAACACTTGCACTGTGAAACTTTTACGGAATTGCTTAAATTTTATTTCATTTTTAGATCTCACTAAAAACCGATTGAGACACACACGTAAGCAGTAGCAACACTTAACATCATTTATAATTATTTTCATTCCAAATCCCAATAAAATGCCTAATTTCATCCTTTTTTCATTTCAGATAACCAGCTCAAAAGGAATAGGTCAGTATTCAGCAATTTCAACACTAATCTTCGGACAGTTACAAACCGGAAGGGACTTGGCTTCGCTCCGGTATCAAACGGCAAACCCCGGGATACCCGCAGACCCCTTTTGATATATTCAGGAACCTTCAAAAATGTAGACTGAAATTCTCCTTGGCACGGCTTTCAAACATGAAAAGTCTCTCAAAAGGTCGCGCTTTTAATGAGATGAATACGTTTTATCCGGATCAGCCTCTCTGACTCACACTGCCGAATGTTCCACTTACTCAAGTCAAATTATCCCTTTGTCGGTCTTTCTAGGTTATCTTTCAGTGACACTACTCGTGAAATACCTACGTGTCTATATCTATATCTAGTGCTTATCCATTTTAAAGAAGACTAACTTTACATGCGTATTTTAAATAGAAAGTTTCACTTTATCTTCTCATGTAAGGAAATACTGAATTTGGAATGGTATATTACAGCATTAATTTGTATTTGCGCTATCAGCAAACAATTACCTCCACAATATGAAAATTATCGCAAAACATAACATAACCCAAACACTGTGTCGCGGTGGCTATCGCGGAACGTGTAGCGAGTTCGATTCCCTGACGGTACAACTCTTTGTGTAATCCACAAATTGTTGTTTCTGGTCTGGGTGTCATGTGTAGGTATGTGAAAACGTAAACGCATCCACGACACGACGGAGAAAATCTAATGTGAGAAAACGTTTTAAAAAAAATACAGCAATATGTAATTTCCATTTGCGCCTTCAGCAAACAAGTACACCACCTCAATTATAAAACCCAACAATTGAATAAATAGGCAATCAACAAGAGTATAAGAGATAAAGGCATCAATTTAATGGAATAATCAAATTATAAGTGGTGCTCGACATGGGCTTTGTTTTCTGGCGGGACCGTGAAATCATTATATTATCTGTGCCCATCAATCTCGGGGACTGACAACCTATAATGAATTCCCGATTAGAAGCCCTTGTTCACTTTTTCCTTTGAAATCGTTCAGACTGTAAACTTTTCTTTTAGTTAATTGTGTGTTTGGTTGTGAATTGTCGTGTGATTTGACATTTTAATATGCCTTACATTTGGACCCTGTTAAGCAGAAAAGTACCAGCCCACATTTTATTAATTTGAGTAAATTAAGTTTAATGTTAGGCGGATAATAAAAAAATCATATGATGCGGTACCTATTGAATAGGTACTGCATCATATGATTACTTTAAACTTCATTTACTCAAAAGTAATAAAATGTGGGCTGGATCTTTTCTGCTTAGCTGGGTCCATTTATTTATTTATTCATATTGCACAATGTTTATATAATTTTAATACGAAAAAAACTTACAAACTAGCATTAAAGAGTCACAATACATTACATAAACAGTACTAGAGCATTTTGATATAATTAATACGAACACACAGTTCCTCGTCAAACAGTTACGTGAGTAAGTCGAAAACATAATAATTGATTTAAAGTTAACTGTAACTTATTACTACTACTCAGAGCTAACTATATCTATATATTAACTATTCTATAGTTTAACTATTCTATAGTTTAATATACATTCAGATTTTGTATTTAACTATTAGATATTAGAAATATTATATACTGATCCGTTACACGGGTTTACTGCGGGGTAATTCCTCTTCGCTGATCGTCACGTGTCGCGTGGATGACCTCAAGCGGGCACGTGGTGTGGACTCACCCAAGTTGACTTTAAACTGTCAAACACCAAGCGGTCACCGGTGACCGCAACCTATTGTTCTATAATTGTGTCTACAAAACCGGTACTCGACGAGTTAATCGCACTGTTTGCGGTATTCCTTGTATAAAGGACTCATTAAAACCAAAAACCTTTGATTTTTTAATCTCGTCAAGCTTGATTCCTACACATATCTACTATATACAAAAATAGTCGGGTTTTCCTTCCTGACGCTATAACTCCAGAACGCACGAACTGATTTCCACGGTTTTGCATTCGTTGGAAAGGTCTCGGGCTCCGTCAGGTTTATAAAATATAAAACAAAAAAAATTGTTTCTTCATCTTTTAAACTGTCAAACACCAAGCGGTCACCGGTGACCGCAACCTATTGTTCTATAATTGTGTCTACAAAACCGGTACTCGACGAGTTAATCACCAAACGAAATGTTACATACAACGAAGTCATCTGGTGGCGAAAAAGAATTCGCCAGATTTACTAGTTATTCAAAGATAATTTCACCACGAAATTCTCAGCAATAGATACAACAAGGGTTCTAAAACTGTGCCTCATATTACCAAGAGTTTTTGCTCCTTATTACAACGTCAAAATATACAACAATTTATCTTTAAACTTGACTGAAATTAAAACAATGAATGACCTCGCGATATTGGGTAACAATAACACGTGTAGCTGAAACTAAATTTCGGAACCACTTCAGAAGTTGGTACATTAATCACGAATGGCTAAGTCACGGCGTAATTATACTACCAGGATTTTCATTGTTAAATGTAACTCACATTACATATATACTCTAGCTAATAACCAGTACTTGGGACAAAGAGGTTATTCATGTTTAAACTTAAGAAATAAAGTCGCAACTGCGACTGCTGAGCAAGATATGTCGGGTTCGATTCCCGTGTCGGGCAAAATATTACTGGGTTCAAAAAAAATCTCAGTCGCAGTTCGGAGTCTGGAATTGTGCCCAGTATCTATATATATATATGGCAATAGCAAATAGGTATGAGTAGGCAGAGTAATTAATAAATCGTTTCGTTTATATGTAATGCAATTGTTAGGCGAAAACTAGGTACATCCGTATAAGTTAGACATGGGTTTATTACGAAACATTTATCTTTTGGTTATTTTATACACTTTGCCCGACCCGGAAATCTAACCCGAGACCCCTTGCCCAGTAGTCGCACTTTCGACCATTCGGCCAACGAGGCAGTCCTCTTAACTAAACAATGTTCTTATTTAAACGAAGCTTGAAGAAAACATAAAATCTTTACGACATTCGCATACGTACCGTAAGTTGAACGTAATTTGCATAAAATAATTCCAATTTAAAAGCAAAATTGCGTATGTAACCTTGTCTCTTGAGACTACAGACGTTTAGTCTCGCAGTCTCACTGTCTCACTGAACTGAATGAACTGAAAGTTTGTGTAAGACGTCGTTTATAATGCTTTTTGTGTTATGTTTTAATATATTGTAAGTACTATCTTTTACGTACGGGTTTGTCTGCGGGAATTAATATATGTCCTTCCTACTCCCAATTAGCAATGAAGTGTAGGTAAATGTAATAGGGTAGATGCTTAATTTTTATTTTAATGTCGGTCTGGTAGGTTCAATTAAAGTATTAAACACCAATTTTATTTTCTTACGAAAACGAATACTTTCGACGACATATTGATTTGAAATGTGACGTTACTTCTATGTACATTTTATACGTAGAAATGACGTTTGAGCTTCCACTCCAAAATGATGACAGATTTCGTTTTATCTGAGTATTATTTTATTACACGATAAAATAAAAATACGTGTCTAATATTTTTTCACTGTCTAACTTACGGACTAAATAGAATTTTAATTTTCATATTTCGTCATCATTCCTATTTTGACTATCATAAATATTCGATCACCCAAAATTTCACTATGCCCAGGGAGTTTTATGAACAGTACCAACAGTGTTCTACTCTGCTGATACCAAACGCACAAATATGTAAAAGCTTTATCTTCCAACAAGATGTATTCAAATCAGCACTAACTCATTTTAAGTGGGAAACTGTGACGTCAGCCCTCAGCCATCATCTGTGTACCCCCTTTATTACGGAACTCCAATCGACCTCGCCAACGCGACGTCTGCGGCTCGTAACAAACTTTAAAGTGCACTTGCTAGCAAATGTTACAGTTGTACTGAAACTTTCAGCCCGTCCCGATACACTTTCAGCACTGGCGCTGAACCAAAACCATACAGTTTGAATACCCGACAAATTATAAGAACATCGTCCAACTTTTCCGTAAATTTTTTGGGCTGTTTTTAGCTGGGTTATATTTTAAGAAAATCTGAAAGTCGTGCAATCAATAAGATGAGGTCTTGCAATCCAGCGCATGTCCATTGTCCATAGAACCAGAATCATGAGAGATATGGTTTTAACATGTATTAATATGTCGTGGTGGCCCGGAGGTTTAAGACGCCCGCTTCTCATGCATGAGGGTGCACGTTTGAAACCTATCAACGGCAAGTACCAAAGTGACTTTTTAAGATTATCTAGACACCACTGACAAACAGTGAAGGAAAACATCCTAAGGAAACCTGGGCTTATAATTTTTAATTGGAAGTTTGTAATCGCACACCTGCATTGAGCAAGCGTGGTGATTAATGCTCAAACTTTCTCAGTGTAAGAAGAGGCTTTGCTCAATATATATTATATGTTGATGATGATGCATTAACAGGTTACCGTAAGACGGTACCTACGTCAGCTCAATCGGGGCTAACGTTATTTTATTCACTAGATCGCATAAATGTACGAAGGGGTTTTTTGACCAATCACAGCAGCTGTCAAATATTGAACGTCCAATGGTGTGACACAAGCTAATTCCCTATTGGACGAAGAATGAGAATTACAAACTAGCGCCTTCTGGTAAGCAAAATACGGTAGGCCAAAATCAATGAAACGACTTTGATATGATACCGTCTGCCGTACCATGCCATACTATTTCCTAAACATTATTATAGGTGTGTGATGCTTCGGCACAAATGGGCCGGCTCGACCGGAGTGATGTGGCCTCACAGAAAATCGACGTGAAACAACGCTTGCGTTGTGTTTCACCGTGTGAATGAGGTTACCGGAGGCCCCTCCCCAGTCTCCCCAATCCCTGAAAGCCCACAATCCTCAAATTCCCAATTCCCAAAGGCCGGTAACGCACTTGTAATGCCTCTGGTATTTCAAGTGTCCACGGGCAGCGCCGATTGCTTTCCATCAGGTGATCCATCTGTTCGTTTACCGGCTTATACC